GATCACTATAATGACATTTTAGTCTCTTTCTACAGGTTTTACCAGGCTGACAATTTGCCTTTAAATAACAAAGAACACTCTTGATTTGATTTCTGTTTGCACACTCCTGTATCTGAGAGAAGGGTAGGGGTATTTAACTCGCAGACAAATATATTCTGGAAGGAAACTACATGAAACGTTTTTACACTTACATTTTTTCTTGTAATCAACCACATGGTCATTTATTAGTCTAAAAGCTGGCTGCAAGGAAGAATACAAACATTTATAGTTCTTTACAGAAAAGCTGTCATCTTCTCAATGCCTTTTCACTCCTCTGCAGCACAGAGGGATGGAAAGCTAAAAACTGCAATAAATGTCTATCTTACCCTGGATTAAGACTCTTTAAAAAGACGTAGGGTTGCTCATGCCTGCAGCCAGACCACTCACTATCTAGAGGTTATTCATGTTTACATTGTTTAATCAAATTCAAATCCACAGACAAGGGACAAAAAAGATCTGGTCAGAAGAGTAATAGTTCCCTTCAAAACCTATCACTCCTGCTCCTTCATTGGTTATCAAGCACTACTAAACAGATTCTCCTTTCCAGATATACCCTTGAGGAGCAAGAAGCTGACATAAGAAATGCATTAGAAAACCTCAACACAAGCACAACATACTCCTGCTAGATCACAAACCTGCTAATTATTCTAAATCTTTTCACATCAGCTTCCTAAAGGAAAACACTTACTGTGAGTCATGTCCACTTCCATCTTCATCTGATGTCTCAAGAACTGTTTTTCTTGCAGCTTCACTGATTCCCCTACAAGATGTTGAAAAGCAAAACTTACTGAAAACAATATGGATTATAAGAGTTTACTGTAAAGTTTTATATACCCCAACTATTTACCTATTCAAAACTCCATCAGAGATTAGTGCTTCTTTTGGGTGGTGGTACTTGTAATATACATTTCGTACTACAGCATCTTGAAGAAAGAAAAAAAATAAAAGAAATTTACATCTTAGCTGATCAGTATGCTAGATACAGCAATGAAAAATGAGTTTAGCTCTTGGATTCCCCGGGTGTTTGCTTCTAACACCACAAAGCTGGCATGTGGCTCCCAAAAGAATTCAGATCAGCCTTCTCTACTGTTTCTTTTTGGACATACAGATTTAGAACAGGAATATATTTGCAAGTTCAAATAAAAATAAGCACATCTCCACGTCTTCTGCAAAGCAGAAGAGGCAAAAGGATGATCCAGTTAAAATAATATGTATCAAGTTTTACAATTTCAAATTCTTTTTTTTATACATCTTCCAAAAGCACGATGAATCTAATACTGTTGATGCAAAAAAAGGCACAGTCTAGAAATGCCACCAAAACCTCTAAAAATATTTTACGTACGCTGAGACGCAGTTGGGTTTTTTCACATTGGCAGTACAAAACTTAATGAATGGCATTTTATTGGTCTGCTAAAGAAAAGTGCCAGTTTATTCAGGGTAAGCATGAAGCGATTGAATCCATTAGAACGCATGGAAAAAACATTTGACGTGAAACTAGAATTGATATTTGTTAGTAAATGCCATTAAAATTGACAACTACAGCAAAGGAATGGAGATGGCCAAGTTGTTATCAAGATACTGTGTCCATGGAAAGCCCTTGGTGTACTCCAGTGTTACACTGCCATGTACATGTAGCTTTCAAGAAAAAACATCTCTTAGACCAAAAGGTACTTTGTGAGAGGGATCTGCTCGGCTTATACCGACAAAGGCTGAGCCTGCCCTTTAGATTTTGCTGAAAACGGAAGAACAAAACGTATCAGTGAGCCCCATTACCATTATTGAAAACGATCCCATATTCTTCTAACAAAAAGTTAATATTTGTGCCGTATCGGGACTCTCCGCCTTCTCTTAGCATCACCAGGATGGCTCCACCATCCTCCAGGAATTTCTTCAGAACCAAAAACTAGAAGACAGCAAAGATCCACAAAAAACACATGTGAAAGAAGCTACACACAAGACTGCAGGAAGTTATACTGAGATGAAGGAAAGTAAATGATTCTGACTACTTACAATGAACTTGATCCTATCAGAAGAGCATTCAAATTTCAATTTGTGAAAATTCACATAAAGCAGTACTATTGCAAATTATTCTGTGTTGTTCTTTTCTATTTCATTTAACAAATCTTGAAACATAACTAATTTGCAAACAATTATTGACTTCTTACCTCAGCAGCACTGAACTTTTCTCGTGGCCCTGCTGTGATCCACAATTTTACCCCAAACAGTTTCTCAGATGTGATCTCATCTTTTAAGCTATGAATAGATTAATAAAGAGACATGATATGCTTGGATACAGTCCTGAACCACAACTTACTTTTTTTTTTTTTTTAAAGAACTAGCAAATAAACACAAAGCAAATAATTTCAGCCACTTCACATCCTTTTATCTGGGTTTAAAGTTGACAATTCAGGTGAAAGTAATCCTTACAAATTTCAAACCATTAAACAGTAAAGCCCCTCTAACAAGGTACTGTGGCAGATCCAGAACTGGTATAAACCATCACAGCTGCTGTTAAACTTTGCACCTGATGAGCTTCCTCTGATTTTTTCTTTTTGCTCTGGACACATTTTGTAGTGGACAGATAGGCAATATCACACGTACAAGGGCTGATTTCTTTTTATCCCAAACTCTAAATCAAGACGGACTCAAAAACCTGTAGCAGAAGTTTCATCCTTGTAACTTGCACTCTCTCTCTTCCGCAGATAAAACAGCTGAAAGCTCCAAAGACGACTATGCGCAGCATCTAACTGTGACATTACAGCTAATGCCACAGGGCGCGATCAATGCGAAAAAGGCGTTTTAGCTTACGGTTCACGTTCCCAAAGACTATCCGGGTGTTCAGTGCGGCCCACACACACGTTTCGGGATCTCTCTCCGGACTGTGGGTGCCCCAACCCCTACCCACTGGGGCTGCACGGTGGTGAGGCTGAGGCACCCCAGCCTCTTCACTCAGGAGCGGCCAAGCCCTCCCTCGGAGGTGAGGTGGATCCACACAGCCTGGGCAGGCTGAGAGAAGCCTCTTCTCCACTAGCTGCAAGAAACCTAAGCGTGCCTTCGGCCCTGCCTGCAAAGGACCCTCAGACCACAGGTACGCGGCTTCTCTCCCGCGCCAGCGCTCCAAAAAAAGCTGCCAAGGGTTACTCAGAAAGCTGCCCCTCACCTCTGTATCTTCCAGTTACCGCGAAGCCTTTTGCGCAAGGATTTGTAGCTGCTGGCGAGAGTGAAGGTCTCCCCTTTGGACGCATTGAAGACTATGGCATTCCGCAGGCCCCTCTCCATAGGGTTTCCCGGGGCTACCGCAGGGGAGGCCGAAGGAGGCCAGCGCGCGGGACGCGAAGCGAACCTCCAGCGCTCCCCGGCAGGACCCCCGCAGCGGGCCCGGGGCGTGGGGAGGGGGTCGCGGCC